ATTGAATCAAATTGCAACATTAAAACACAGCTCCTTGGAGGATCTGCCCCAAATGCAGGCCTACTTCAGTATATCAGTTGGCGACTTGGGGGAAGGGATATACTGTATGAATGGAAGAACTGTGCAGTTGTACACAGCATGGACATATGGCTTCACAATATCTTTAGAATCTGCAAGTTGAAGAGAGGGGTGGATAGGATACCAAACAAAGTGGGGTGAGGAGAAGGATGAGAAATCTTCTTCAATCAGATCATGGGAGGGATTTAATTTGCCACAACTACCAGACCTTCTTTAAACCTAAATCTGAGCTGGCATGTATGAGAGATTAACAAACTGAGTGCTTCTGAGCATCTTTAGAGTATTTTATTTTTAAAGTTATACTAGGTTATCTCTTGTCCCAGTAAATGAAGTAATTTGATTGTGAAATAAAAACTGATGTGAAATGTTATTATCCACAGTTTTATCCTCCACATACATATACAGTATAGCTGATGTGAAAGTCCATGCATGAGCTTGACAATCAGATGGTTGATTGTTTTACACAATGGTATTCTTGGAGAGATGTCAGGTTTGCTACTACTTATTAACTCTAGGGTACACTTTTTAGGAAGGTAGGTTTACAGGCACTGAATTATTAAATAATTGTTTGATCTATCAGTTAGATTGCTGACCTCAGAAAGTGTAGATTCTATAAAAAAAGCAGGGGAAGAAGTGTCTATGTTTTTATTTATCAAATCTCACTGAGATCATTCCTGAATTTAAAATACCATATTTTTCAGAGTATAAGACGCATCAGAGTATAAGACGCATCTTAGGTTTTGGGGAGGAAAATAAAAAAAAAAAGCTGATTGGTGGGTGGATTGGCCTCCCGGAATATCCCCAATCAGCTGTTCCCAGACGTGAATTTTAGCAAAAGGTTTGTTGGTTGTGAGCTCTGTGTCTTGCTTTTTTTTCAGCTTCTGAAACTTCTGAAACTCTTCTGAAAAACTTTTTTTCCTGCCTCTGAAAGCCTCCGAAACAGAGCTTTAGAAAAAAAAACCTCTGAAACTTCATTTTTTTCTGAAGCGCTGTTTCAGAGGCTTTTTTTCCTGAAGCTTCCTTTCAGAGGATTTTTTTCCCTGAAGCTCTGTTTGAAGGCTTTTTTTCTGAGGCTTCATTTCTGAGCCTTTTTTCAGCCTCTGAAACCTCCGTTTGAGAGGCTGGGCAGGGCTACATTCGGAGTATAAGACACACCCAGATTTTCACCCTCATTTTTGGGGGAAAAAGGTTCAACTTATACTCCGAAAAATATGGTAGCTAGTGCTTCCATAGAACGCATAGAAATTTTCAAACTGAGGATCCTAACTAAGGAATTAAATAAATAAATAAACTATTGATTAGACATTTTTATCTTATAAGAATGAACCAAGAATAATGTAAGAATAGAAAATCATGTTCATAATAATTTTTGTATTTCCAACGGTGGTTCATAACTTAAAGACTCAAATACAGGATGGAAGTAACCAATTTCTTTTCCAGAATCTTTCTTCTGAAGTTTGCATCAGATGGTAAACTAATACCTTGGGAAAAAATGTTTTTTCTATGTTGCAATCATTAAAAAAGACTCTGGCAAAGATATTGTAAAGTGCCTGCCCTGCCTTTTAACATAGTTTGGTATTTAGATATTAATATTTATGCAAAATTGGAAAATCCTAACCCATGAGGAATAGAACACTCAAAGGACAAAACTCCACTGTCCTTTATTAATTATCTTTTGCACTGGGATCAGGGAAAGAATTCTCTCTGAAAGATTTTCTAAAGCTTTTTCTATCTTATCTTCTTCGGATGCTGATAGCACTTAGAATCTCTCTTTCCCTTTTTTCTAGTCATGGCCTCGGGGAGAGGGAGAAAACCCTCTGAGAAATATGAGACATTGAAAAGGAGCTAGATGAAAAAGATAATAATCTATCACTTTTACATGAATCAATATTCAAAAAAGCATGGTTCCTATCCATCTCACCATTCTTTGGTATTCAATTCAGAGATGCAGTACTCTTGTGAACTTTATGGCAGTGACTCTGCATCATGTCTGAAGGATTGGGAATGACAGAAAGGAATGCTGCCAAGGCTTGAAAGCTAGTCCCTGGATCTCAGAAATGAGGTTGCCAGATTCTTTATCCTTATCGAATTGCTATTTTTGCCCAGAATATTTGTCTGAGGAGACCATCGAGTTTAGCAATGTATGGCTTGGGTTTCTCTTTTTAAGTATGTGCAGTGATTTGTATACCAGATACTTTAGACTTTGCAAAGAGTTTGTAGGTACAAGGAGTCTGGATCCATTGCAATCCTAGCCAAAAAAATAAAAAAAAAAAATTCTCATATGGTTGCTATCTTTCTTATTTTTTTATTTCAATAAATATCTTTACAAAGAAGAAGTTATAACCCCCAAGGAGCTTCAAAATAGACTTTCCACAATGATCCTGGAGTCCTCATTTAGGAATAGTAAGGTATTTCATAAATGAAGAACATGTCTAGACCTTTTGTGTGATTGTGTTACACGCACAAGAAAAGATATGAGCATGTATAGAAAGGTAAGTTCTTTCTATATGCAGAATGAAACTGATATGCAGATTATCCTGCATCAAAACACTAAGAAATCCCAATCAGACTGGTGGAACAAATTTGCCGTTCTCCATGTGCACTGGGCAGAATGATGATTTAGTATGGATTACTAATCCTATTGTCTCAGATTGGCCCCCTCATTTTAACAGTGAGAAAAGTGAATGAACATTCCTATGAATTTGGTTGTGTGCTGATTAGCATGAATGAACCTATCATTATGATTTCACCTTATAGCCTTATGAGTAATCAGGGAATTGATGAAGTAGCTTTAATGACAGGGAATGTTTTTCTTAATGACCTAGAAATCTCTCTCCCTTGCATTTGAAATGTAACAGCTACCAGAAGAAGCAGAAGGGGCAGAGGAATGATTTATAACAGGTTTTGAGACAGAAGAGGCAAAAAGCTCTGCTTGCAGGCTCAAATAGTTGCTCTCTTTATTTAATTGATGTATGATCAATAGTTTTGTTGCCTAATTTAGCAACCTATTATTTCAAATAAGTTCTCCTCACACAATGTGAAAACAAAGATTGTAAAGGTAACTTTCTCCCTTTTAAGAAAATTAACTCCTGTATTATTCTTCAGACTTTTTTACTGCCTTGGCTTCTACATTGCCTTTGCTTATAAAGACATTACTCATTTGTACAGATAGATCTATGTCTCTATGTGTTGCTTACCCCAAGAGTTCCATTTATTTTTTGAGTCCACCAGATATTGATACAAATAAACTTCACAGAATTCAGTATCTCATGAATCTCAGCTTTCAAAATCCCTAATCTGAAACCTTTTTTTTTACAATCAGTTTTCAAGTGATATTGAATTTGTATGAGGATGAAGTACACTTCCTTGCTCTGGAACAACACAGTCTTTCCAGAGGCCTTCCAAAGAACAGCTAAGTCTTAGTATTAATATTTTGGCACTGGTACCATATGAACCCCATCCTGTCAATCGCATGATATCAACACTGGGAATTTAAGAACATGACCTAACCTTGTAACAATACTTTTTTTATCCTTGAACAGGGACATACTCTTTCAGCCCAGAAATTTACATTAACATTGAGCAGCCCTCTCTCAAAAGAGGAGGAAGAATAAGATACCACCTATCTCCTGTCTACAATGCAGTCCTTTCAACAGTTTCAAGAAGATTCAACCCCTATTTGCACTCTGATACATGTGACCCTGAGGGCACAAATAAACCCCCAAGTGGCTTCAAGAGCTCTCAGAGTGCTAATGACCAGATGACTGCAAAGAAATATGATCCTTCCAACCTGCTCCCCCCCCTCCTGTCAGAACTAATCTTTCCATTGGCGGTACCATCCTGCCAGAACCAATGAAGCTTCTTGAATGAGAAGCAAAATGTCTTCTCAAAAAACAAAACAAAACAAAATAAACAGTACAGTTGCCTTTTGAAAAAGCACCTTTGAGACATAGTGATAATACATGTTGGTTTTGAAAGATAATAGAGATTTGCTGCCATGATGGGAAAGCATTGGAGGCTTTTCAGTGCAATTATTTATATTTGTAAGCCCTTATATTTCTGCACCGAAAAACATTTCCTCAATTTACCTATGGTATGTTTTTGCAAAGCAGTGGATAAACATTCATGCAGAAATACATGAACTGCAGGAGAGGGAATATTTTAACAATTTACTTTTTGTTTTAATAAACAGAGGGAGGGAATGCTTGTTTTTTGGAATGAATTGAGTGGAACTTGTGATTGGGATGAGATACTCAATTTTTGGCTGAAAAAACTGCCTTATTTTATTTGCATAAGACAAGCACCAACTGGCTGACAGCTCTTTACTCTAGACATGCCAACATAGAAGTATAGACATGTTCTTGATACCTGATCTGCAAATACTCAAAACAATTTTAGATGTATTTTACAAATGGGAGATTGAAAGGTTGTTTCATAGAATCCTCCTGATTATACTTCTGTTTTCATGCTATATGCTGAAAATAACATAAAACTGAAAGGATCAATAGGTTCAGGAAACTAGAATGCACCAAAATTAAACCTGGTGGCAAGTAGTCATTGTCAGCATATAGCTTAGGTGTATTAGGCCCAGAATTTGTAGAAAAGCCTGTCACATATAAAATGAAGAGCAGAGAAAATAATCTGGTGATATATGTCATTCTGTCCTTTCAAATAATCTAATTATTTTTCCAGCCAATTGAGATAATTCATACATATTTCTAATCTGACTTTTTTTACTGACTTTCAGTTGCAAATTGGTATAAGCCTGGTATTTTGTATAAATTAGTTTGAGTAAAATATTTCATTGACAAAAGAGTTATACGGGTTCTTTAAAATATAAGTAAACTTAGTCGTCTCCAAAGTACTGCCCTACAAATGTGTTAAAACTAAGACGTCCAGTATTCCTAAATTGAATGGCTCACCTGGAAGAACTTCATAAATGCCCTCTTTGCCCTGCATCATGGTCTCCTCTTTTTCCAGGTCCAAAGTGGAATCCTGATTAAATGTTACACTTGGGGTATCAAAACTCTCTATGTCATCATAGGCCTCTTCTTTATCAGTGTTATGGTAGTCCTTTTCTTTCTCTTCTTCTTCTTCCTCTTCTTCCTCCTCCTCCTCTTCTTCCTCACAGGGGATAATGAAGGAGTTCATATCTGAAAGATAAAAAAGAAGAAAAAATAATAAGAGAGAGGGAGGGAGGGAGGAAGAGAGAAAGAGAGAGAGAGAGGGAGAGAGACAGGGAAAGAGAGAGAGAGCTAAGAATCTACCATGTACTTGGCAGATTCAATAACATTACTACTTGCTTGCTAAAAATAAGGTTAGCAATACCCCTCTGGAATTTCATCAGGTGACCAAATCCATGCACAATCATAAAGAAAAACGAAAGGATACAACTTTCATCCCCCCATAACAATCAAAATAAATGTTCTGAAAGGAAGTAACTTAACTCTAACAGCCTAGTAGACCACACTCTGCTGAGATCCTTATTCCCATTACAGTATTGCAAATTCATGAAGACACATAAAACTTTAAAAATGTAATAAAACAACCTCTGCTATGCATATAGTACACATACCACACAATCAGTGGTGCGCTGCAGCTGACTTGTTCTGGTTCATGAAATTGTTATATTTTCTGAATTTTGCAACCCAGTTGAAAGCAGAGTTCAACCATGGTGCCCAGTGCACTGATTAGCTGTTTGGCAGTTTCTGATGTTGCATGGTGGCAGCAGTAAAGCCAGCAGAGTTACTTGTTATAAATTTATTAACATAGCATGAAATGTTAACATGCCATCTCCTATTATATTTATACATTAGTGAGTTGAAACTAGAACTAACTATGCAATTCAGTGCAAGGGAATCCCATAACAGATAAGAGAGTCTTAAATATTAATGCAGATACATCTTGAATCTGTAATTCTCACAGGCAGGGTGTTAGGAGGATATTATTCAGAGTATCTATAAACATAACAACCTATAAATGAAATTTGGTCCCCTCATCAATGAATTTTTAGAGTGAAAAATGTAGATTACTAACAAAAACAACAAAGCAATAATAATTTTTATTTTCTATCGTAGCACCTTAAATAGCATTCACAATACGGTCTTTGCATCCTGACCAGCAGAGGACGCTTTGAGAGCATGCATTGTTTATAACTCAGAAAATGTCTTTACCAAAGTGGAAATGTGATTTTAGGTTTTGATTAATCCATCCCACACACTAAGTTTCACTATTATCAGGTTGGTTTATATGCCTAAAAGGTATCCAGGAAGTTGGGAGGAATAAACCCTGAAAAAAGTACAAAATAAAATAAAACAAAAACAAGAGAAGAGAAGAAGATGTCATGTTTTGGATTTCGAGTAGATTTGTCTCAGTTCAGATGACAAGATCATAGATCTGGAATTTTTAATCATGTCTAAAATAATCAACTAATCTATGAATATTGAAAGTGGATTAAGGCTTATATACATTTCCTTTAAACAAGGAAAAATGTGGGAGAAATATCTTTAATCATTATCCCCATCTTGAGCATTAAACTATGATCAAAATGTGCTAACTTGTATATCATGATTTGGATATGAGGGTGTACTTTTAGAAGCTCATTGCTTTTCTACCATAGTTATCCTTGCCTGTGCTTTAAAAAACCTCTTCTTCTTAGTTATGTATTCTTTAAACTTCTCTCTCTATTTCTTCAGCAAAACCTAAATTTCCCTAAATTCATTTTGTTTATAGTTTCCACACATCACCTGGTTTTCTTGTCTTTTAAGTATGTTTATTGGGCAGGTACTATCATAACTAGCCATGTAACAACCTGTTGCAAGTTCAATAACTACCAAATATTGCCATTTGATTGGTGAAGGTTCAAATTATTCTCATGCTCACTGCAAGAATAAAGAGGTCAGAAGACTAGGTGCATTGCACATCAATGTATTCACCACCAAATTCTTCCATGTAATAGGAAACCCTGATTGAGCCATACTAAGAAGAGCTCCAGAGCAACCTGTATATCTCACAATAGTGTGTGAATGTAGGGGGGGGGAACAATACTGTGTGTATGTGGGGATAAAGTACTGGATTTTATCCAAAAACATTTGATTGAAATCTGTTCGTCATTAAACTTCTTACATAACTTTGGGTCAATCAGGATTTCTCTACTTAGGTGATGTATTTTTTAAGGATAAATGGGATTATCTTTGATGTTAGTCTTTAGTTGACAAAAGCCTCAAAATTAGTAAGGAAACTCTTAGAACAAAGTTGGAGGTTTTGACTAAACTTGCCTTAATTTTTCTGTGACTTTCAGACAAGTTTATCACTGTGTTTTTATGATTGTTCTGAATGAGTTCAAGATATCTATTGAAAAATAGATCCATAATGAAGATTCTTAGAAGTGTACGCAGATGTTTTTGTATGATGATAGGGAATCTATTTTAAACACAGACACATATCCAAACTTCTTAAGGAATTTAAGCTCACTGGTCACACAATTCTACCCAAACAATTTCTGGCATGATCATCTAACGCAAATTAGAGCTGTAAGTGGAAAGGGAGATATCAAATTCTCACCCTAGTTTTAGAAAAGGCCAAGGAACAAGAACAATTACTGCTAATTGCTCAATAATTGAGAAAACCAAAGAATACAAAAAAGTTAACATGTACTTTGCTAATTACAGAAAGCTCTTCAGTCATGTTGACCATGTGGAATAAGTTTTTAAAATATCATTGTCCTCATGTCAAATCTATATATAGTTAGGAACCCACAGTCCTGACAGAATATGGCAAAAAGATTGGCTTTAGGTAAAAAAATAAATGAGTGAAGGCTGTATATTCTCTATTCATTCAATGTGTATGCTGAATGTATATTGAAAGAGGCTGAACTGGAAGAAGATGAACAAGATTTTGAATTTGGAGTATTTATATGGAGATTAGGAAAAAACATATTCTGCCAATAACTGCTAGGTATCCAGGCTGTTCCTCACTATCAATCTTCAGTGGCTGCATCAAGGATGAACAGTCCATAATTACAGTGCTGGTGGCCAGATTCTGCGCAGCAGCACTCGGGATTCATTGCAAACACGTGTCTTCTCCACCATAGTGATGTTATATAACAATTGTGGCAAATCCTTGCACTGCTTAGTCCTTTCCCTTTTAGCATTGAACCTACAACGGGCCACACAGTTTATGGATTATAACTGTAGTATAGTCAGACCATGTATAATTGACAGACTGGGTTTTATTATAATTTTTAATCATTATTTATTATTTTATACTAGAATTTTTAATTCTATATATACTGAGTGTTTTTATTTCTTCTGGTCTCTGGTCTAAGACTGTAATAAATCGATTGAATTGAGTAAGAAACATCAGTAAGATGCTCTATGCTTATGAGACTACTCTAACAGTTGAAAATGGAAATGATTTGGAAGCTCTAATAATAAAAGGAGTACAGTGAAAAATATGCTAAGATTAAATATAAAAAGACCATACTAATAATTATACTGATAATAATTACAGTAGCCACCCTTAAATCAACAAATAGTGAGTAGCTTCTGCCTTTGAGGATCAAGCTATCAACAATAAATGAAGTAGCAGTCAAGAAATATACCACAGATTAGCACTTGATAGGGTAATTATAAAAACCTTGGAATTGGATGACCTGAATAGGCCAGATTAGGGACAGATAGTTCTGGAGAAAATCTATCTATGTGGTTTTTAAGAATAAAGCTATGAGGTGGAAATATACAAAGTCTGGATGACAGATTGATCTTCTGTTGGTCAAATAGGTCAAATTCTTCCTGGACAAACTTAAGGAAAGAGAGGGCAGGAGCATAGCTCTCTTAGCCACCATATGAAGAACTAGAGAACTTCGCCTTTGCTTTTTCTATTCCTTTAGAAGGAGCAGAAGAATATTTTTTTAAAAAGTTGAATTATCTTTCACAACAAGGGAAAGACTTGAAAAGTATGGTAAATATAGATAACAGTATTCAGTTTGCCTTGGATTTATTTGCAGCATTTATATGGACAATAACAAAGTCATGGGTAAAGAGGCTAGCACCATAGTGTCCTGCAAGGTTTGTGCCATGCTTGTTTTTCTGCTTATGGAGAACTCAAATTATATCTGCATCAAGTGTAGATTGGTGGAATCTACACTGGATTGGTGGAAGAGAAGGTGGAGAATTTAGAGGCAAACCTTGTTGCCTTTTTTAATAAAGTGATCGGTCTCATTCGAGACAATGATGAATCCGCATACAGATGGGAGGTTGAACAACTAGCCTCGTGATGTGACCGGAACAATCTGGAATGGAACACACTCAAAACCGTAGAAATGGTGGTAGACTTTAGGAGAAACCCTCCCATACTACCACCTCTTACAATACTAGACAACACAGTATCAACAGTAGAGACCTTTAAATTTCTAGGTTCTATCATATCTCAAGACCTAAAATGGATACCTAACATGAAAAACGTCATCAAAAAAGCACAACAAAGAATGTTCTTTCTGTGCTATCTTAGGAAGCTCAAACTGCCCAAGGAGCTGCTGATACAGTTCTACAGAGGAATTATTGAATCTGTCATCTGCACTTCTATAACTGTCTGGTTTGGTTCTGCAATCCAACAAGACAGACAAAGAGTTCAGAGGATAATTAGAACTGCAGAAAAAAACAGTTACTACCAACCTGCCTTCCATTGAGGATCTGTATACTTCACAAGTCAAAAAGTGGGCTGTGAAAATATTTACAGACCCCTCGCATCCTGGACATAAATGGTTTCAACTCCTACCCTCAAAACAACACTATAGAGCAGTGCACACTAGAACAACTAGACACAAGAACAGTTTTTCCCCGAACACCATCTCTTTGCTATACAAATAATTCCCTCAACACAATCAAACTATTCACTAAGTCTGCATTACTATTACTATTAATCTTCTCATCGTTCCTATCACTCATCTCCTTCCACTTATGACTGTATGACTGTAACTTGTTGCTGTATCCTTACGATTTATATTAATTGTTTCCTAGTATGATCTAACTGCTTATTTGTACCCAATGACTATCATTAAGTGTTGTACCTTATGATTCTTAACAAATGTATATTTTCTGTACACTGAGAGCATATGTACCAAAGACAAATTCCTTGTGTGTCCAATCACATCGGCCAATAAAAAATTCTGTCTATTCTATCTATCTATCTATAAGACAATAGAAGGGAAACTAATCAAATTTGCAGACCACACCAAGCTGGGGAAATTGGCAACACCTTGGAAAATAGACTCAAGATTTAGAAGACTTTGACAGCTTTGGGCCCTATCCAATAAGATGCAATTCAGTGGTGAGAAAAGTAAGGTTCTTCATTTCGGCAAGAAAAAACAAATTGTTGTGATCCACCAGCAGCCTGTGGAGCCAGTAGCAGAGTTGGACAGTGAGGAGGCTGGGGAGGAACGTGGGCCAGTCCTGGAGTCATGGGAAGGCTCAGATGAGGGCTCTGCATCAGAGGCAGAGATGGGGACAGGGCCATCTGGGAGTTTTGTGCCAACTCTGGAGCCTTCAGAATCCGGACATCAGAGAGGCAGAGAAACAGGGGGAGCCTGTTCCTAGTGCGCACATGTGCAGAGCTGCCAGAAAGCAAAAACAGTTAAAACAAAAGCGACGACTCAGGAGTAAGGCTTGGAGATGATTGGCCCCTCCCATAAAACATAAAGGAAGAGCAAAGGCATGTGGGCCTTTTCAGGAAGCAACTTTGTGGATGGTGTCGGTTTGCACTTTGAAGCTCTGTTTTTGACTCTGTGTTTCTATTTGGCCTTGCCAAGATAATTGCCAATTAGGTCTTTGGCAGCATGTCAAAGAAGATAAAGGTGGGTGTTTATCCAAAGGACTGCGGCAGACTTCTGTTGGACTATTCATAAACACTTTGTGATTCAGCACCTGCTGTGAATGAAAGGAATTCACAGCCATTAAAATAAAAAAAGGAGTTTTGGGACTAATTGTGTGCTTTTTACTATATCAGGAAGCCTAGGTCAGAACAGAAATGCACAGAGTAGAACACTGGGTACCTGGGTACCTAGTAGTAATTGTGAGAAGGATCTAGGGGTCCTAAAGGACCATAGGACTCATAAGTATGAGCCAGCAGTTTGCTGCAGCTGCAAAAAAAGTCAATGCAGTCTGCATCAATAGAGTGAAAGCATCAAGAATACAGAAGGTATATCACTGCACTATACTGCATTACTGAGGCTACAGTTGGAATACAGTGTCCAGATCTAGTCACCACAACACAACAAAGATGCTGCAGCCTTAGAAAGAGTGCAAAGAAGAGCAATAAGGATGACAAAGGTCTGGAGGCTAAACCATATGATGAATGGTTAAGGGAACTAGCCTAACAAAAAGAGATTAGGGGTGACATGATAGCTATCTTCCAATACTTCAGGCGCTAATACAGAGAAAAGGGAATTGACTTATTCTTCAAAGCACCTGAGGGCAGAACAAAAAAACAATGGGTGGAAGCTCGTTAAAGACAGATCCAACCTGGAACTAAGCAAAAGTTTCCTGAAAGTGTGTGTGAAACATTACTAGCTTGTTTCCCGGATTTGTGGGTGCTCTATTGCTGGAGATTTTTAAGAAAAGGATTGGGCAGCCATTTGTCCAGAATTGAGTAAGCAGTCTAACCCCTGCCTTGGACAAGGGGTTAGACTAAAAGGCCTCCAAGGTCTTTTCTACTCCTATGATTCTATGATTCTAAGGTATACAATACCTGATACATTAACTGAAGTTTGTGGAACTGAGGTATGCTCTCAAGAGGATACCCTTCATTCAGGATAGAAATAATCTGTTGATAAATAAGTTGAGAGCCATGGAAGGGAAAGTGATGACAAACAATATGTGGCAGAGAAAGAAAGTCCTGTTGATTTGATTGGTATCCATAAATGCAGCATGCCTATATCTGAAGGAAGAATAAGGGCATGAATTTTGAAAAAGATAGGTACAGTATTATAATACTGGCAACACTTATGTGGAAAATCTTGATAATAATAATCAGAAAAATAAATAGCTCTTGAAATCCTGTGGACTGCTGGAGATAAATGGAAATGGTCTTGTAATCATTGGGTGTAAGAATGGCAAGCATAACTTTGACTGGAGAAGAATCTTTAAATATCTCCTTCAAAAATCTCCAAGGGAGATGGGTGATTAAGAAATATGAAATATAAACAAACAAACAAATAAATAAAATAAAGAAGAACATTACAAAGTTGTTACCAGTTTGGACTCTACCAGTATCCACCCCCAGGACTGATATAAAAGCGGGTATCTTCAGAGAATGAAGAGATACAGGAGAGTGAGAACATATATTGTCAAAAGTCCAGAAGAACAGGACAGATATGTTCATACTTGTGACACTGAGTATGAATGTCTGCTTTTTCCTTTCACGTTCACTTGAAGAACATTTAGGAGATTATTTCTTCTCCTTCCACTTTGTGAAAGCTGAAGAGAATGACTAATCCACAAATTGGTGGATTAGCTAAGGTTATTGATGTCCATAATTGATTGATAAATATGTAATTGATTCATTGATTAATTCTTAGAATTAAAGTATGGGTTTGATCCTTCCTAAGGGACTCACCTTTCAGCAGAAATGTGATATGATCCACCCAGTCTGTAGCTTCTGCAGGATTAGCAGCTGTGAACTGCAAAAGAAATAAAAAATCAGAATGCCAAATACATATAAATAGTTCTTGATTTATGACCATAATTGAGCCCAAAATTTCTGTTGCTAAGCAAGACATTTGTTAGGTGAATTTTGCCCCATTTCACAACTTTTCTTGCTACAGTTGTTAAGCAAATCACTGCAGTTCCTAAATTAGTAATATGGTTGTAAAATGAATCTGGCTTCCCCATTGACTTTGTCAGAAGGTCGTAAAAGGGGATCACATGACTCAAAGACACTAAAACTATCATAAACACGAGTAAAGTGTCTGAATTTTTATCATGTGGCTGCTACGGTAGTCCTAAGTGTGAAAAATGGTAATTAGTCACATTTTTCAGTGCCGTTGTAACTTCAAATTATCACTAAATGAACTGTTGTAAATTGAGGACTACCTGTATCCATCCATTCATCCATCCATCCATCCATAAGTCATTATTAAGAATGAATTCAGAACAGCATGCAATAATAATATATATTATTCCTTAGGATCATTTGAAATGCAGTAGGGTTTTTTAGGACAGTTTACTCATTCAGTTGCTGAATCAGTGAACAATAAGAAAGGTAATGAATAGGCAAGTAAGCCTTATTCTGTAATCTTTTTGTCTGGATAAATATCAGAATGTCTTTCATTTCCACCACTGTTCACTTCTTCTCATTCTGTGTAAAATAATTTCCCCCCTTTTTTAAAAAATGTGATTCTTACATTTGTTCACTTATTTTAAAAATCTAAATAGACTCATTGAGGAATGAGGAATTGAACTTTTCTGCATGTCCGAATTTATTTTGGAATCCCAGAAACAGGGGTGGGTTTCACTTACCTTACCCGGTTCGCTCGTCAGGGGTGGGTCCTAAATTTTTTTACTACCGGTTCTGTGGGCATGGCTTATTTTGTGGTTGTGGTTTAGAGGTCATGTGACTAGGTGGGCGTGGCTAGCTGGTCAGAGTCATTTCTGGAAGGTCCCCGCACTTACGACCAGTCCTCACACTTACGACCCAACTCATTTGTTTGCTTTTAACACTGATTAGCTGTAGGACGGCCCTTTGAAGCCCCGCGGCAAGAGTTTAAACAGTTTTTTTCCCTCTAGTCATCAGCTGGGACTCAGGAGTCAGCAATAGATTGGGGGTGGGACCAAATAAAAGGTAAGAATAATGAGGGTAGGTGGGGGGGGTGGGAGGGCGGGGGGGGGAAGAACCGGTTTGGTGATGTCATATCGTCACCGCTACCGGCTCGGCCGAACCAGACCGAACTGGGAGGAACCCACCACTGTCGCTCGTGCATGCACAGATTGTATTTGATGATGTCTGGGCAGGTGGGTGGAGCCTCCTGTCACCGCTGCTACCGGTTTGCAACCCACCACTGCCCAGAACCGGTTTGCAACCCACCACTGCTCAGAAAGCACACATTTTTTGATCACCTCATGAAATTCACATTATTCATATAGAACATGTGAGTATTTTTAAAATAATCATAAAAGGGTATACCACTTTTCTAAGAAGAGGCTGTCCAGATATATATTGAAAGGAAACAAAACAATGGAGAATGTGTAATGATTGGAGATACATCAGATTAAATTGCAAACTCTGTCACAGGAGTACACAGGTGTTGGAATAGCCCAGATCCGGCCCACAGGGTGCTTAGATCTGGCCCGCAGGGCCGCCCTGGAAGAATGGGTCTGCCGTGCCTCTGCCAGCAAAAATGGAGCTAATGGGGGCCACAGGCGGAGATCTGTTTTCACTGGCAATGGGCTGCAGGAGGCTGTCGCAGCCAAAAACGGAGCTCAGGAGTCTGTTTTCGCTGGCACAGTGCTTGGCCCACCACAGGCGCCCCCCAACATGAGTGAAGTTGAGCTGGCTACACCCACTCCACCCTCCCAAAGTCAAACACAATGCTGAGGTGACCCTCAATGAAATTGAGTTTGACACCCCTGCTCTAGGGTAATTATTTCACTCTCCTAATGAGGCAGAGAATATTTTGCTTCAATATCACTTTGGTGTAAAAAGCTTGCTCAAGATCACTGAAGGAAGGATGCAGAGATAAACATTGAAAGAAGGGTCAGAAGAATAGCTAACAGGCTAACCAGGGAGAAAAGGTATGGGAATGAGAAGCAGCAATCTATTAGAGCTAAAGAACAAGGTCTGGTTCACTTTAGATATTTTGAACAGACCTGAATCTCGATTAATTTTACCGGGTGGGATTTTCACATGTTGATTGGGTTGTATCAACTTCAAACTCAGCATAAATTAATCCATATCAGCTCTGAAGCAGCAATGTTTAGGCCCCTTCCACTTTTATAAATGCCAGGATAAGTTAAATCGAGCAGAATGATAAAAAAAAATAGTGCAGGGGGATTACAGTAGTTTTTAGTTTGGTTTTTAATTCTACATATTTTAATATAAGTGTTGAACATATATTAGTAGAAAGAAAGAGGGATATCCCATTCCCTTAACAAAAAATTATAGGGTTTGCATATTGTGCATAGGAGAATATAGGACTCATGCCGAGAGCCAGAATTTCCCAGAACAAAAGCACTGGTTATGTCAATAACTATCAGACAGCACCAAGCCTGAGGAATGTAAAGCAAGGCATTTGTTGAATCATGGGAAAGGGAGGAAATGGATTTAAATGGATATAAAAAAGGAACTGTATCTCACACTGGCAGAGGGCAATCAACTCTGTAAAACAGCTTCATAAGTAATAGCAGTAATAGTAGTTGATTATTCTTGATTGTTCTTATAACCATGTCAAATGAAATAATTCCAGGATAAAATAGGTTAAAAATACAGCAATGAAATATATATGTGGTAAACAAAAAGAATCATAATGAAACTTTTTGTCATGGCATGCCATGCTGACTTTCTAGCTAAATTCTGTGGCAAGCATTACAGAGCAGCTGAAAAACATTTTAAGCTTTATACTGTATAGCAAAATATTCTTTAAGTCGGGATATTAGAATTTTACAACTAACTAAAATAAATGGATGGCTAAATAAACAGATAGAGAGTGCTATTTGTAAAATTCTACTTGGATGAACCTCTATAAACATGATCAACGACAAAGGAAGCCCAAACATTTCACTGAGTATTTTCTGAAATACAGAATATAGAATGTTATCTTTCCCCTCATTAAACACATATTGTGATTAAATTTTGTGATGAAAACTCTTCCTACAGTTCATGTTGGCAGAAAGAACACTTTCCATGTCTGTTAATCATACCTCATAGGTTCGTTTACCAGGAGAAGTCAGTTCAAAGCAGCAATCTCTTCGGGAATCCTTGCGCAGATAGGGAGCCAACTGAGCATGATAGTTCTCAATAGCAAACATGCCTTTTGGTTGTTTGCCTGTTCAATAGCAATAGCAATGATGAGTCATTATTGGTATTCAACACAGGACCCTAAGGTCTTCAAGATTCCTTATATTTATTTTTTACTTATTTTATTTATTATTAAATTTTATGCCAGCCATATCATTATCCAAAGTGACTTTGGGCAGCTTATAGAATGATGACTGAACTATGGATAGCAGAGAAGAATTTAATCATTCTTTTATTCCTGCCATCGAGGCAGTCCTTGCTTTACAATTACAACTGAGCCCAAAACTTCTGTGAGTTTTGCCCCATTTTATGACCTTTCTTGCCACAACTGTTAAATAAATTTGTTGTTAAGTTAGTAACCCAGCTGTTAAGTGAAACTGCTTTCCCCATTGACTTTGCTTGTCAGAAGCTCGCAAAAGGGGATCTCATAACTTTGGGACACAGCTATGGTCATAATATGAACCAGTTGCCAAGCATCTGAATTTTTATCATATGATCATGGGGTTGCTGCAAAGTAGCATAACTGTAAAAAACTGTCAAAAGTCACATTTTTCAGTGCCATTGTAACTTTGAATGGTCACTAAATGAACTGTTGTAAGTCAAGGACTACCTATACTCTTTCAAAGTGCATTTTATTTTATGGATTACTTGATCTGAGTGCAACAATTTTCATTTTAGATTTTCCTCATTCTGGCATCAACAACCCTTCCTCTCAAGTTTGCAACAGCTTGGAAAAAATTGAACAGAAATAACTCTCCACTTCTGAACAGCTGCTGGATGAAGCAATTTAAAGCTGTCTCCATATGGCAGACTTGACATATGCATTTGCTTCAAGCTAATATGCAGGAGGGTGATAAAAAGGGAGGATCATTCCACAGGATCCATGTTGCAGGATCAGAAGGCAGATTCTGCCCTCACTCAAAAGTTCTCCCTGCCCTCCCAATTAAGTCATTGATTAGGACTGCTGGAAGATGCTGTTCTATTAAAGCACATCTATTTTAGTGGGGAAGGGGTTTTGGTTGCTATAGGAAGGATTATTTTATGATATCACACCAGTGGATAGATGAAATATTTCAACCCCCCCCCCATTTTACAGGTGCTATGAACCCTTTCTTTTTTACTTCCTACCCAGAATTATCAGAAAATCACTAATGTACAGTGATTAGCCATTTAATATTGACATTGTGATCTCACAGGAACAAAATAGCAGTTGGGATGATATGATTGTCCATTAGTGATTCAGGAGAACTACAGAGGTAGAATAGAAAGCAGGCGTAGACATTCATGAAACATATTCTCATGAGGGAGAGATAAAATTTCCAAGTTCCACCGTTTGGTGAAAAGATACCATAAGTAAAACAGAAACATAGAACTTTTGCTAAGAGAAGACTATTTTTACAGAAATTCCTATCTATATCTAGCCAGGATTTTGCAACAGATTATTGATATATGTTTTTATGTGATACTGAATTTCTTTTTTCTTTGTGCAATGTATGAAATTGGATGCTCAACTCACAGTGTGAATTTGTATTAAATACTTCAGGCTGGATGCCAAAAATACATTTTTCTCTGTAGAATTTCCTTGTAACTGATAACATTAATTTGATATTCTTTTTCATCTCCTTATGCAGTAGACCATCACTATATTGTTGCTTAACTGGAGCACTGTATTTTTTTTTCCAAATTTTTTATATTTGTTTTTCTAAATTACTGGCTGTTTCTCTCATGACTTGAGCACCACCGTAAATTATCTTTTTCTGAAAATGAATGTTTGGAAAGTTAAAGTCAATGTGAAGTTTAAAAAATATTTTTCCATTTTATTTCTAAAATTTTGATTTAGTTCATTTCTTCTGAAATTACTCTGTCTCTGCCCCCTACCCCAAAAGGAAGTGATGAATCCTCTAGCTACATTTTTCTATGTTACATGAGTAGGAGGTTGTGCCATAGGCATTATAATGACCACTAAGGCAGCGCAGTATGAGTGAGCCATCTCTCTCACACACACACTGGGGTTGTGGGCTGGATGTGGTGCCTCCAGTGGCAGCAGGAATTCCTAAACTGCTACACCAAAAGACAGTGTTGGATTCTGAGATATGAGTTTTGAGACTTCCAAACACCAGCCTTATAGATCCAGTCACCTGATACACATGCATTTTGTTCCTGTGATGTCAATAATATTAGCTTCTGAGAATTAAATGTCTTCTTGTTCCATCACCCTCTTCCATACTCCTTTTTCTCAGTCAAACTACAGTGTGTTTGGGAACATGGGGATTGGCTTTATGGATATGCACTTGTATGCAGATATATATATCTACAGTTTCCTAGATGCAGCATCTGTCATCTCAAGAATTATGGTAGAAAAAGACACATCACCAGTTCAGAAAGTCCAACACAATCCTTTCTTGGTTTATTCTCTCTCTCTTCCCCCCCCACACACTTTCTCCCTCTCCCTCCCTTCCTCTCCCTCCCCCCCTCTTTATGTTTGTGTATACACACACACACACATATACATGCATACATATACTGCATATTTAACCTACATTCAATTTTTCTGCATAGTAGCACAATGAAATCGGAGCCCATCTATCTAACCCATGCTAAAGTCATTTGGAAGTATTAGCCTGTTTATATGCATCTGATCGAGCATAACCGAAAAATATTTATACATGCTGACACACAAGATTATATATGGACATTTAGGGGAGGATTAAAACCCATCTGACAACTAATGGGGGAAAAATGGGGTCTATTTTATATACACAGGGCCTTGTGTCTCTATTTCTCCTTTTCTCTCATCTTTAACTGACAAGGGTGTTAGAATTCAACCAGGCAGTTTTCTTTGTCTTAAGGCTGCCTCTAATGGCATTATCCCACATTGTATGGTGGCTAATTCATCACCCAGCTAAAAGAGCCAATATGATGTAATGCTTCTTCTGTTGCATTTGGATCAGGAATATCTATATTCAACTTCCAACTGGTTGCAAACTTTAGTGGATATTTCCCTCCCCTCAATTTTACATGATTTATAGGAGATTTAACAATTTGATTTTCATCTCCCTGGGTTCCTTGTGTGTAGAACTGCTTTAATGTTTGTAATAAATGCAGAAAATATCAGAGAATAAATAAGCTACAATGTAAAAATGAATTTTGGACAACAGTATTTCTTTTACCGCTGTCTTCTCCAGTTGATCCACTGGAGATTTAGGACCACTCATGAGCACAGTCTCCTAAAAAGAGAACAGCTTTTTTAAAACCTCAGTTCAAAGGATGCAGTGAAGGAACAGAAAGCATGGGTGTGGTATCACCTACTTTTTTCATTTGCATAATAGTAGAAAGCTGTATTGTCAAGAACACACCATCTCCTTTGCCACTCAGAACCAAAGATTTTGGAGTCTGTGAAAAAGAAAGGAGGTGGAATGAGTAAGGATTCTGTATTTCTGAAAAGGCTGAAATATCAATCACAATTATTTCTAGTATTAATACATATTGCTCCAAGGCATTTTGTGTATACAAGATACTTTTTTTGTCTGTTTACTGCAGTCTTTTCCAACCTGAAAAAAATATGCTGGATTTCAACTATGACAATTCCCAGTTTACATAACACTTGACAAGTCATGTAGATAAGTCTTTCCATAGACTTGTGGCACTTTCTATATGTTTTAAAGCTGAAAACATCTAGAAAACTCTCATTGAGGACCTATTCGCTGAATATTTTAATTAATTTGGCAGGGGTTAAATCTTATTCCAAAGTATAAAAAATGTGGTCACTTTCTCTAATTTCCAGGGCCCACTGATTTATTTGCCTCTTGTGCCAAATAGGTAAGTGACATTTGATAAAGCATGGAATATCCTTTTCTATGTATTGTTACAATTCTTTAAAGAATAAGAAATTCCAGGGATAATGATATCTGTTTAATTCTCCCTTTTTTTTCTTTCTCTCTTTGCTGCTCTCTTTCTCTGCTCCAATATTGTTTCTATTAACACCTTATCTTCATCTAACCGAAGGAATGGCAAATTGATGGACTGATGCAAGCAGGATATTTTGATACATTTTAATTATTTTCCAGACCTTGGCTTCCATTAAGAGTATGTCTATAGACTTGGTATATGATGACATGTGACAACAAGAGAAAAATCTGTTTAATACATGGTATTAAACATACAATAATAATCATATTGAAATGGGTAGAAACAAATGCAATCACTTCTATCAATTGATGTTGTACTTTGAGTTATGTACTTCTCTCAGCACCAAATGTCTGCATGAAAAGTTAACCATAATTTTTGCTCAGAGGGTTACAAGTTTTAAAGCATAGACAACATAGGAATACAGAAATGTGAATTCATAAATCAACAACAGTTGATTTTAATAATGGTAAGGATCTTACTTATGCCAAGGGATCTTACGCCTTAAAAACTTTCTGGAAACGTCTGCTGATGCAAAATGCAAAAGCACAAGCAGTTATATGTATATTCATTCTCTGTTGGGTGAATTGCATTGGTTACCAGCTTATTCTGGGTCCAATTCAAGGTGCTGGTGTTGACCTTTAAAGCTCTACCATGGCAAAGGACAAGGCCATTTTGAGGGACTACCTCTTGCTAATTTCATCTGCCTCACCAACTCCAACAGAATCATCATGTTACCGATTCTCTCATCTAGGGAGCTTCATTTGGCAAGCTGTAGATGGCAGGCTTTTTCTGCTTTGTGGATCTTCTCCCCACAAAGATTAGGTCGACCTCACCATTCCTGAGCTTTCAAAGGTCCTTCAAAACCTGGTTATGCCAGCAGGCCTGAGGACCCCAAGGGCCAGATGAACTTGTGAGGTGACTCCCTTATTATTAACATCCTTCCATCTACTACTTTATTTTCTTATTTAGTTCTGATTAACAAACTAGAACTAAGGAGAAATTTCCTGACAGTAGGAACAATGAATCAGTGGGATGGCTTACCTTCAGAAGTTGTGGGTGCTCTAAAACTGGAGGATTTTAAGAAGAGATTGGACAACCATTTGTCTGAAATGGTATAGGGTCTCCTGCTTGAGCAGAGTTGGACTTGAAGGCCTCCAAGATCCATTCCAACCAGAGGTGGGCTTCAGCAGGTTCTGACCAGTTCTGGAGAACTGGTAGCAGAAATTTTGAGTAGTTCGGAGAACCGGTAGTAAAAATTCTGACTGGCCCCACCCCCATCTATTCTCTGCCTCCCAATTCCCAGCTGATTGGGAGGAAATGGGGAATTTGCAGGAACCTTCCCCTGGTGTGGGGTGGGAATGGAGATATTACAGTATCCTTCCCCTGTCATGCTCACCAAGCCATGCCCACCAAGCCATGCCACACCCACCAAGCCACACCCACAGAACCGGTAGTAAAAAATTTTGAAACCCACCACTGATTCCAACCCTGTTATTTTGTGATATTTTATAGTTCTCAATGTTTTAACTTATAAGAGATTTAGGTAACAATTGTTTTATATTTATTGTTTTATTGGGGTGTTATCAACCACCCAGTGTAATTTTCCATGAGATAAGTAGCCATATTGATTTGATTAATAAATACACAAATAAATAAATAATCAATTAGTAGATGTTCACCTTTAGCTCTCTTTTCCAAATAGCCTTGTTTTAAAACGATTCCTTGATCTTCAATAGCCTTCTGTATATTGTTCTCATCTAAAAATAATAATAATAATAAAAATTTACAACTATCCCAAGACGGAACACATTTGTTTTTGTTGTAACCAGCCCAGAGAGCTATGGCTACTGAGCCATTCAAAATTTTTTACTAAATAAAAATAAAAAAGCCAGTATGTACTGTATGTTATATCTATTCTTGATTACTACCAAATTCACAAAGCTTAAATGATGAGGCTGGTAATTACTTTCATGACAGTAACATAACAGTAAGGTTCATATTGGTTATATTGATAAGCTGTGTGAGTTCTTGCAGTGCAACACAAGATAGATTATACACTGGAAAAAAAATATCTATTTCTGATTAAAATAAAAGAGAAAGAGGGAAAAAAATTTGACACAATGTGATGATTAGCCAGTACAATATCATTGTGCATGAACACTATTGAAAATGCAAAGCTTTGTGCTTAAAGTTCAGGTCTGAGATTAGACCTGACCAGTTGGTTTACAAGTTCTCATGATGGAATGATTAACCCATATAATGCTGCAGACAGCTACATCACTGCCCTAAAGACTGTATTTCTGACCTTTGTTTGCCATAATCTCCAAAGAAAACTTTCAATGCAAACTAATGATTGGGAGGGAAGGGGAAAAAATTCTATAATTGATTCCTCTTTGCACTAGTCAACTAATTTTTCATGCTGATGTCAAGATAGATATGAGAAAGCCAGCATATTTAAAATGGTATTTAAGTCAGCAATGAGTTTAAAAAATACTTCTTTTCTTATTAGCTTAGAAACATACTATCTGGCTCACTTGCATCTATGGAACTCAGGCTTGAAAAACGCAAGAGCATCTATGAAAATCAGGCTTGAATTGATTATACTTCAGAATTTCTGCTAAATTAAACTAGTCAGTTTTTATGCTTTATTTTCTTTAAAAATCACACATATTTTTAATAAATGCACCTTTAACGAGAGTTGCTAAATTAGAAATTTTCGATGCATAATAACTCAGAATCTCATCTAGTCATACAATAAACCACTCATTTTCGTGGCAAAACTGGTAGCGTTAACAGAACTTACTTTCAGAAAGATGGTGTACAAGTGCTGCCTTAAGCACCAACAAATGGATTCAATGAAAGCCCATTGAAGACATATTGGTTCACTAAGGCATTTGTAGAATAACAATTGCTCCAGGGCAAGTTTTTTTTTTTTTCCCAATTGCCTTTTTAATTGCTTTTTTTTAAAAAAAAAGAATCTTGTTTTAATTTTTGAATTTTTATTGATTCTTAGGATTGTTGGTTTTATTGTTGATGGTTACATTTAAGATTCTTTTAATTGTTCTTTGTAAATTGCTTTGGGCAGTTTGGGAGGAAGAGTAGTAAAGAAATAGTATAGAAATATATTGTTTACAGCTTTAAAAGAGATTTGGTGTCATATAAAATTAGATTTGTCATCAGTGTTTTTCTCAATCCACCCTTAGGCTCGGTACAATCTCCTAGCATGAAATGTGGATAACTTCCAGAAGTGGTAGATTCTTATATAAATTCCAGCATGAGATCTTACTTGCTTATTCCAATCATAAATGGTCCAAATGCCAAGGATCAACAAGATGTGACAAATTAGTAATATATCAATAATCTATTGTGTATAGTACCATTAAATGGAAAAGGAAGCATGTGTATGAAAATCTGATGACTCAACTATGCAGGGCCACATGAAGGCCTCTGTTTTATGGATCAGGAGCAACACAGACTAAGATTTCTAAATAATCCCAGTTCCTATCATTCTATCCCACTTTCTGCAAAAAGGCAGAACATTTTCAGACAGCCTATGCATTACAGGAAAAAATTATTTATTAAATTTCTGTGTCGCCCATCTCATTGATATAGCAACTCTGTATGTTCCTCTCATTTGATTCTTCTGGGTCTTTCTGTAAAAAGGACCCTACCCTGACCCTGAAATAAATCAGGAAAAGATTAATAGTTAACTACATAAATGAGAATTGCTGAGGATGTATTTCATATGAGTTCTATATCTGTTGTTCCAAAACACTTCAGTTTCAGATATTTGAGTATTTCAGTAGTAAAGATGATACTATACATAGTATATCTTCTGAGGTGAAATTACAAGAAATTGCGGCACTGAAAATAAGAATCAAATAAATTCTGGCATTAATATCAGACTGGTTTTGAACTTTGGATATTTAATCAAACAAATATAACCTCACTTCAAGATGCATCATATTGTGGATGTACTGAACCCGGCCTTGATTTTCAGGCATGCTCACTAGAGATTTACGTTCACTCACTCAGATATTTACATAACCTGTTGCCTCCTCTACTTATATTTCTTGTTAATTAGCAGAAAACTAGAAACACAGAGTCAGTGAATTCTTTCAATTTTTCTGTGAGAGTTCAGAGAAAAAACAGGGCCCATTCTAGATGTCTCTGGTGACATGATCTATGATGAATGATTTGAGGATCCATAGAAGGTTGCAAAGAAGGCAGATATCTGGCTCATGGTACATGTGCAGTGTATTGCCTCTCAGAATTTACTGCGAGATTTCAAACAGTTTCATGCAGTCCAGTCATCTCTAGAATATTTTAGAGATACCCACATAATAATTGATCTTTTAAAAATATGTATTTATTAAAATTTTGTATATAGTAAAAATCAAACCTAAAGTTAAAAAAAAGGCTCAAGAAAAATGAAAGAAACTAAAGAAATATATATTTCCAACTTTTTCTTCAACAGATATTGAAGAATTGTCTTTTCTCCTATTTAAGTATTTTAAAAATCTTTTCAGCTCCTTGTTTATTTTTCATCTTTTTCAATCATTAAATCCAAAAATCATTTCTCTTTTTTCTTCTTATAGCACAAAGTCTATATAAGGTTCCATATAAGTCTTTTAAACAGCATTTGTTTCCTTCCTGGTCCCATAGGTCAGCTTTGCCATCTCTACCTGTTCTCACATTTTGCTATCCATTCCTCCATTATGGCAATTTCAATACTCTTTCACCTGTGCGGAATGCCAGACAAACTATCAACAATAAGCAACAATATTGTGTCTATAAACAGGGAGCAAAGTCCACATTCACTACCACTGATGTTGTTATCTAATTCAATATATTTGCAAGCTAACAACCAAGTTCAGAGAGCAGCAAGGCTGCCACTTGTTTTATATTCTTTAAATCTTTAAAGTGCTAGTTAGCTTTTATTTTATTTTGGGATGTGGTTTTACTCAGTAGGTAGTTTTTCAGGTAGTTTTTTGTTTTATAATAGTTTTAATTAAAGTGTTAGTAAACAAATAAAACAAAAACTAATAAAGAGCAGAGGCAGGCAGGGAGGAAGGAAGGAAGGAAGGAAGGAAGGAAGGAAGGAAAAAGTGCAGAAAGAATAAAAAAGGAAAAAAATAGAAAGAATTTTATTTGCAGCAATTATAAGTACATTTACAAATTTCTCTCTTATTGTACGTTTACAAAAAACCCTCACCTTTTTATATTATCCATTTTTTCCCTACTCATCAAAACCACTAATGAAAAGTATGTTTTTCTGTTTCATAGAAAAAGTCTTAGGATTTCCAGTCAATCATAAATGTGAATATTATTTTTTCTCTCTTCAAAAAGGTTCATTAACCTTCTCTGTAAGTTCCATCATCTTTATCAACCATTTCTCTGTATTGGTATAATTGAGACTTTCCATTTCTGAGCATTTAATAGCCTTGGTGCAATTGCCATATATAAAAACAAAGTTCCATGACTTTTTCTAGCTCTTGTCCCTTAGTCCCGCACAAAAAGTTTATGGTTTCAGTTGTACTTTAACCTTTAACATTTTCTGAATTAATTATTTTGGCCTTTTTACATGTCCACCAAACATGATGAAATGTCTCTTCATGTTGTACACATTTCCAGCAAAAATTTCCAAGTACCTTTATTCTAAACAATTTCTCTGTGGACAAATATCAAGGATACATTATCTTATAAAAATTCTCTTTAAGCACTGCCTGCCAGATTGATTTTGCCACACACAGGTCAGAGTCTCTCTGCCAAAGAGCATTTTACTTTCCAAAAGGCTGGCTGAAAAAGTCTCTCCCAAAATCCAAGCAAGATTTTGGCACAGACCATTTGCCGCATGGGGTATTTGCAACCGACCTCCAGAGATTGCCCAATGACGCAAACTCCTGCTTGAATTTTCAGATGGAATTCCTTTCCATGAAGGGCAGACAAACTGCAGCACTGGACTGCAGGAAAGAATCTTTGCTCTTTTGCTCTATCTGCTTAACAACTGCAATGAGGAAAGCAGGGATTGCAGTTGTTGAGCAAGGTTGTCATTTGGGCATTTCACTTGATGACTGGAATGACATACGAACCAAATTCCAGACTTAATTGTGGTTGTACATCAAAGACTACATATATGCAAAAAATTAAAGCAATAAATGTATACTCATCATACTACATGATACTGTAAAGAATAATGGCCAAAGAAATGACCATTATATCAGTGGTGAAATCTAAAAAATTTCCCTACCAGGTTCTGTGGGCGTGGCTTGATGGGGGTGTGGTCATTTGAGTGGGCATGACTATGAGTGGCATCAAGTTGATCACGCTCACTCAGTCACAGGAACCCCCCACCAAGCCATGCCTACAGAACCGGTAGGGAAAAAAAATAATTTCTATTTTCTATTCTAAAATCCTATTTTCCCCTGTTGCAAGATACCGGCAGCTGCAGCCTCTTTTTTCAGTGTGCCTGGAGCTTAAAGATGCAGCGGCTGCAGGCTTCTTGTAGTGAAACTTACCGGAGCTCCCTTTCTTAAAAGCGTGGGGAGGTGGCTGCACTTGGAAGGGGCTGCCGCTTCTCTCCCTCCCTCCCTGGCCTCCTGAAGCAATCCCACCACTGTTCGCTTTCATTTCATGCAGGAGAAGAAAGAAAGTCAATGGCAGTGCCGTAGCACATGCATATATGCATGTGGAGCAGCCCATTGACATCCATGGCCAGCCTGCCCTCATGGACCACTGCCGCAGCACTGCCATTTGC